CACAGGATAGATATAATCAATGGTTTCTACAGACAGTAGCTTACAAGTTTTAACAGAAGACCCAAAAGATTTTTGTACTTGGTGAAACTGTTGGATTTTAAAGTGTGGGGGACAAATTATGAGGGGGTCACTGTCACTTGGGGGAATCACTGTTAGTACCTTCTTTTATATCCCTACAAGGGTAGTATAGTACTAGGATGGATCCCTATCCTGAGATCTCTGAGTATGAGGAACCTTAGCCTGAACTAAGGGTAGAGGTGAGATGGAGTTCTGATGTCCTAACAGTGATTCTCAAACTTTTGTATAGGTGACCCTTTTCACATAGCAAGCCTTTGAGTGCGACCCCCCCCCTTATAAATTAAAAACACTTTTTAATATATTTAACACCATTATAAATGCTGTAGGCAAAGCGGGGTTTGGGGTGGAGGCTGACAGTTCGCGATCTCCCATGTAATTACCTCTGAGGGGTCCTGACCCCCATTTTGAGAACCCCTGTCCTAACAGGTATCAAGGACTGGAGACTTAAACAAGTCTCAGGTTGCTGCTTTCTTAGCGATACCACAGATATGACAATGGTAGATCTAACCAGCATTGGCGACTCAGGCTCATCAGAGATAATGAGATCCTCTGAAGAAAGGAACCTGGAAGGATGTTGAGGGCTCCAATAGCCTTCACACACAGTTTGGGTTGGTACTGGCTGGTGAGACAGAGGCTGTTGTGGTACCAACATCTCCCCTTTCAGAGTCATCTCACCTTTCAGAGGTCTGGTGAGATACCAGTACTGGTACATGGATGGTAGCCCTGCATGTCTTGCGGTGCCACAAGGAATCAGAGGGTGCCACCACAGTAGTTGCTCTGGTGTAGGTATATCAGAACAGTGTTTCTTTTGGAGTACTGACACTTCAGTACTGGACTCAGTCAGAGCCTCTATTGTACCTTAGAGAAGTGGTTCCCAAACTTGTTCCACCGCTTGTGCAGGGAAAGCCCCTGGCAGACCGGTTTGTGTACCTGCCACGTCCGCAGGTTCGGCTGATCGCGGCTCCCAGTGGCCGGGGTTCACTGCTGCAGGCCAATGGGAGCTGCTGGAAGCTTGACCCCTGGCTGCTGATTAGAGGGTCCCTGAACTAGAACCTGGAGCAGTGGGCAGGCTCAGGATCCCCTACCAGCCATTGGGGTGGTACAGACCAGGCAGTGGAACAGAAGACTGCCTAGGATAGTCATCCAGTGGGACGTTGTTGCCCCAGAAGGGGAGGATTATAGTGACCTGCCAGGAGGTCCAGGTACAGGCAGTTAAGAAGGAACTGAGTGGTGGCAGGCTTGTGCCTCCCTATATGTCCTCATTCAAAGCATGAGGCACTGCTCTGTGCAGGTACAGGCCCGCAGACACTACTTTGTGGTCTTCCATCAAGAGTGCATGGGCATGCGCACAGCCTACAGTGGAGCACCCAGAGGGACACATACTCAAAGAAGAACTTACCCTTTTGTTTCCAAAGCTGTAATTGTATTTGCATGTTTTGCAGAAAGTATTTATAATCCAGAACGCTGAACAGTTTTTTGCTTTGGCAGCTCAGAAAAAAGTATCCAAGATTTCTTTTCAGTTTTTACTTCCCATGAAGATGGCATGTTTTTAATTAGTGCTTTATATATTCAAAACACTTTACAGATTGTCATGTTTTTAAGCCTAGAAATATTATCCTGGAAAGTATTCCATATACTCAGCCATCTGACACGCTAAAAGGATGTACCCGCATGCCTTTCATAATTCTCTGGAACAATCATCCTTACAGACGAAGTTAGTCGTGAAAGTCCCTGTTCTGTTAATGAACATATTTTACCATACATGCGACACAAGGTCACTGCTATCTGTCTGCATGTAGAAAATGCCTCAAAAGAGAAGAACAGAGAGGATACTAGTTCCTGACAAATTCAGTTTGACTTTAATCACGTACATACCTGACCAAAAAAATGTATTACAAAGATCCCTTGTTTCCAGGCTATGCTAATTTTTCTTATCTGTTGTGATTAAAAGGCTCCAAAATATTCAACATTCCCAACCCTTGCCTCTCTTATCAACTAAATTACAAGTGTGTCACCAATACAGAAAAAAAATCAGCAGACTGGAAAAGCAAGGACTTAAACTGTAAAAACCAAAGATTTTAATCACAGTTTGAGGCTCTAAATTTCATTTTTTGCCTCCCTGGGATGGATGGTGGGAGTTCTTCATGTACAAACTTCTTAAAAAGAATTAAAAATATAGTACAAGATAATTCCATTGCCAAAAAATGTAACAAACCATTCAAGTTTTGTTCTTCCTCCAAGTGTTGCAGAGACCATCTCAGGCATGTCCACAGTCGAGCCAAAAGGACAGCCCTTGGGAATATTTCTATATGGAACCCAGGAAAGTCCTCAGTCATTAATACAAGAACTCCTTGTGGTTACTTGCAAACATAGTCAAAATACAGTACTCCTAACTTTGTTTTGCAGCACTTATGACATATATTAACATTCCAAGACAAAAGAAAGTAGTGCACAAGAATAGAAATTACTCCAGCACTGATGCTTTAAACATTTTACATGATTTAAAGACCCAGCTATTCAATATTTAAAGAAAGGGAACCCAGTACCCCAAAATTATTATTCTGTATATATGCTTTGTGATCTGTGCCTGTCTTAAACTGGTAAACCCTCTCTCCAAGGTCAATTTAGCTTTCTCCAGAAGTTGTATTTATTATCACAAAAAATTACTCTAAGGTTCATGGTTTAGGACTATAGGTTTCCAAACTATGATCTGTGGAGCACTGGTGCTGCATGGACAAATAGCTGGTTAATGGTGCTGGCTCAGAGAGGCACAAAATAAACCTAAGAGGGATATGAAATGAAGGGTAGAAGACAACAACATGATTGATTTTTTCCAAAAAGGACAAAACACTTAGTATACTACTGAGAGTTAAAAATCAGGTCTTTCATTATTATGTTTCCATGTAAAGCAATTGCTGAAATTACAAGGATGTTATATGACCAAAAACGGGAGGGAAAGTGGTCCACAAAACAATCTCCAAGATGTGGTTTACATTATTATTAAGTTTAAGAGTCCTTGGGTATAGAGGATTTGCAACTTGTAATCATAAAGAATCTTGAACTCATGTATGTTTATGAATATAACAGCAGTTCTATTGAGTTAGGATCCACACAGGAACCAACTGGAGGCAACTTCAACGAAACTTGTAAACATGCAGGGCTCTCTATATGAATTTCATGATTACTTTACATCTACAATAATTCTGCCTTTGTATTGGTGGAAGCGGACACCTTTCAGCTTAGTTTTCACTTAACTTTACATAAGGATGACAGATGGGTATTATTTTAAGGGACTTGGCAGGCTTCCCTTTTTCTGCTACTCTTTTCCATGCTTCCTTGACTATCTAAATTAAAGTGCCTACAGGGGTTCTCAAACTTCATTGCATCGCGACCCCCCTTTAGACAAGAAAAATTACTAAACAACCCCAGGATGAGGGACCAAAGCCTGAGCCCCAGGTGTGTGTGGGCAAACATTTTGGCCTGAGGGCCACATCTGGGTATTGAAATTATATGGAGGACCATGAATGCTTACAAAATTAACAATTCAGAGATATTCAAATAAATTCTATTTAATAAAGATACATTTTAGTGGAAATAAACATAAAACCTTACTTATTATTATAAATATACCATCATAACATATTACAATAATTAAACCAAGCCTACCCCCTTTCCACACCCTCATTGATTAATGTGAACAATGTAGATGGTCACCCTTCTCTACAATGGCATCAAAGTCAGGTATCATTCTCATTATGGAAATTGCATGCATCATGAAAAAACTGGGCCCTTTCTCTAGCCTGGATTTGTCGGGCATCAGTGCCCCTGACAATTTTGAGCCATGGCACTCTATCCCAGAACCCATGTGGACAGGCAGAAGCAGGGTGTATTCACCTGTAGCTTTACGTTCTACCCTCCCCCCAAAAATGGTGTATTTGAAATGTTCTGACTGTTATACTTTGAGTTCTGTTTGCACTATTGCATTCATTAAAAGTTTGTATATAGTAAGATGTTACCGAGGTGGGGGTGAGGGGCTTTATGGGGTATAGCATGGAGGAGCTCTATAAGGGATGTTATTGAGTTGGGGGAGGGGAGCTTTACAGGGGTGGTACTTGGGACTCCTAGGGGCCCTGCTGGCAGTGACACCAAGGCGACTATACCAGGCACCGCCAGGGGGAGAGGCACCCTAGCTGGGACAGGTGTGGCTTATGCGAGGAGGCTGGCGTTTTGGGGGTTGGGAGTGCTGCTGCGTAAGGGGCGGGGTTCTGATCCTGAAAACAGCGCAGTGAAGTCTGGGGTGTCGGTCGTGTCTGTGCAGTGTTGGCTCAGCGTGTGTGAGTTGGGGGCTGGGGACTGCCAGGTGGAGCGGGGCAAGCCCCCGACCCTGCTCCCCAGCTGGAGTTCGAGGGCCAGATTAAACGGTTTGACAGGCCAGACGCGGGCTGTAGTTTGCCCACCGCTGCTGTAAAGGGATTCCTGTTTTAGAGGCTCATCGAAGGACTTCCAGATTCTTAATTTAAATACCAGGCCTTTCTTATCTTAATCACCCTACCTCTGTTTGAAAACAAAATACTGATTCCCTGCCTCAGGGGCACAAGCTGGGAGCAGCACCTCTCCTTTGCAGAACTCACATTCCACACTCAGGCTGTGTTGCTGTTAAGAGCATCACCTGGGGCTAGGATGTGCACCACAAGCAGATCTACAACCCCATCCCCACAAAAGGCACCCCGATAAGTGGCCTAACCTATCCCCATCTTTACCATGCTGCTACAACAGCTCCACTCCTTCAGCCCTGCTGTGTGCCCCCAGGACAATTAATGAGTGGGTGAAGATAAGAATATTTCCATAAGTTTAAGGAAGTTCTTTCATAGCTAGTCTTACTGTCACAACTACTGTACCATTAGCAGCTAGGCAGACTCAGCTTCAGCATGGGAGGGTTCTTGCATATTCACAGCACTCCTGCATGCTTTGTATTTGATGGCTTTGCTTCTAGTTCCCAGGCACTGTTATAGTCTTCCGTTGCACTTCCTCAAACTGTTCCATCTCATATGAACATCTATGACAGAAGTCTAATGTTATTAGTAACCTTCACAGGGCTTCTGCCTCTCCATTCTCACCTCTTCCAAAAAACCTACTGTCACAGGGGCAGCCAAGATCTTCCCCAAGGAAGAGACAATCTTAAACACCTACTTACCAAACTATTGCATCCTTTCACATGGATTTCAGCAGGTATGAAATAAAATAATTTTGTATGAAATTAAACACCAGTTATACCATGAACATTTTTCCAGGAGAAAGATTTAATCTTAAATATAGATTTAGCAAAGTGACCTGGTTCACCTAAATGTGACCTCAAAACATTTTACAGCTATAGTGAGTAAACTGGGGGAAATCATTTCTGTGTTCTAGGAAACAATACCAGAACACAATTCCAGACCCCCCCTTAAATAATATGATTTTGTTTGCGATGGGAATAAAGCCGGGAAGGGGGGCGAAGGAGGGAAGAAACGGGGCCCCACTAATGATAATTTGTACCTAAAATGTAACTTTTCCTGTGTTTAAAAATGTGAAAATGATTTAGGCCAAGATTTCCCCCCCTCCTCTTTTGATAATGACATTTATTATTTGAAAATGTCATCACAATCTGCTCTTCCCTTGAGAGTGGGAAATTAACAGTTTTGGTATGACAAAATCTTTTATGATTATGACTGAATGAATGGTAGTTTCCACAGATTAAGGCCCAAATCCTATGAATAGTTATGCATATGCTAAACTTTATGCATGTGAATAGTCCCAACATAAGTCAACATAACTATTCATGTATACAGAGTTAAGCACATGCGTAACTGTTCACAGGATCATGGCCTAAACACTGTACTGTACATGGTTAGTTGCAGGGACTTATTATAAAATGTATTCTCCTCAAAATAATATTTTAGAGCAGTTTCATTTTTAAGGACATTATAAACATTAACTAATTAATCTTCACAAAACTCTGAGATCAATATTTAAGTATAACTCACTGAAAGCTCAGCAGATATTGTGGAATAACTAATTCTGTCTGGAGCAAGTAGGAGTGGCAGGAGCTCAGCACTTTGAAGATTAAGACACTTAAACAGGTGCCTAATTTTACACCAACATCTGAAAAACATTTGAAAAGTTAAGTATACTTCTATTAAAATATTATGTTTACTATTGCTACTGATTTGTGATTGATCTGTCTCTTGGAACCACTTCCATTGCAAGGAGCATGTGTAACCCAGGAAGAAGCCATTATTTTTGAGAATTATCCGGATGCATAAGCAGCCAGCAGTGCATGTCTGGTCAGCCCCAGTAACTTTTTCACACTCCTAATTCTTCCACCCATTTCCAAAGAGTCCCAATGGCCATAGGTGGTCTGGTTATGGAAATACTCTATAATTACAGAGTAATTAGAAATACTAATTCATTAAAACAAATTTGACTGGCATTACTTAAAGCCGATGGGATGATTCACATGACTGGAATGTTAAAATCACTGGATACACCCTATTTAGGAAAGATAGAGCGGGCATAGGTGAATTCATAGGTGAATTGCTTCTTGACAAAGAAGAGAAAAGCGAGCACCTCCCTGCCTGTTGAGGTAAAACATTTTTGCAATGTTTTCTAAGAGAAAAAAACAGGCTTTTCCCCTTCACATGTGGTAGGAAGGCCTGACAGGAGAGGCAGATACCCCTTATCTCTCTGACATTGATATGAAGACAGAGAGATCCCTTAAGGATCACAAACCTCGAGTTCAGAGGGGGCCCAGATGAGCTCCCTACCCTGGGGCAGATGTGTCAGTCACCAGTGTCAGTGAAGGCTGAAGATGGACAAAGGGAATACAAGCACAAATATTGAGTGGGTGCGTCAACCAATCTAGCAAAGTCAGTATTCAGTGTTCAGCTTAAGTGGTGGTGACTTAAGTGAATACACGGAGGCCAGCTAACTCTGAAGAGTCCTGAGGTGCGGCCTGGCATGATCAACTGCATATGTGCATGAAGTTACGTGTTCCAGAATTCTCATAGTTTTGAGCTGTTGTGATTGGGCGAACCTTGAGATCTGCCACATGAGATCAAATTGTTTGGAATCTTGTGCCTGTAAGGAAAGCTCTGGCTTGAGTAGAGTCCAGCACTGCTCATATAAATTCCGTCTTCTACACAGGACAAAGGATGGACTAATCTAAATTGATCAGTGGACCTACAGATTTGAAGGCTGACTAGATGAGTTGCACACTGGAGAGAACCTTAGCCCTGGACTGGTCCTTGACTAGCCAGTCATGCAGGTAAAGGTAGATCTATAATCCTAGGTCTCCTCAAGAACGCTGCTATTACAGACATACATTTTGTGAAAACCTGTGGAGCTGCTGGCAGGTCAAAAGGAAGCACAGTGAACTGGTATTGAGAGAGTTTCACTATGAACATGAGAAACTTTCTGTGACCTGGATAAATTGCCACATGAAAGTATGTATCTCTTAAATCAAGGGTGGCATACTAGTCTCCAGGATCCAGGGAGGAAATAATGGAAGCCAGTGTGACCATACAAAACTATCTTTATTAGATATTTGTTGAGCTTGTGCAGGTCTAAAATTGGTTTGAGATCTTTGTTTTTGGGATTAGGAAATAACAGGAACAGAACCCCCTCCCTCTGTGACGCTGCTGAATCTCCTCCATGGCTCCTCCCTGAAGGAGAGATGGATTAGAAGACTGCTAATGAGAGTGGTCCCTGAAGAGTGATGTGGAGGGAGAAGAGGACAAAAATAAATTGGAGACTATATGCCACTTCCACAGTACTTAAAACCCAGTTGTCTGAGGTAATCTTGGACCAAGTGCTGAGAAAGTGGGGCAGGTGATTTGCAAATCTGGGGAAAATGGAATTTTGGAAAACTGGCGTGGTGTCCTTGAGCAACCCATCAAAATGCCTGTTGAGCACCCTCTGGGTGTCTAGATGGAGCAGGTGTTGATGCAGAGGCAGAAGGAGGAAGAGATCTACATCTATAACCCCCACATTCTTCTTTCTCTGCAAGTCTTGCTGAGGAGCAGGAGCAGAGTAATGGTGGGTCTGCTGTGGATGGAAGTGCTTGCTGGATAGGGTTGGAGCATACAACCCCAGAGACTTTAGAGTTGCCCTAGAATCTTCCAGTCTGTGGAGTTCAGAGTCAGTTTGAAAGGTCTTCATTGTTTTTGCAGCCAAGGGCAGGTAAAGGCCATTGGACCTGTTGTGGAAGCCCCGAGCCAAGAGCTCCTGTGCATGGCCACTGCAGAAACCCTGGACCTAGCTGCCAAGTCTGCTGCATCCAGAACAGCCTGCAGAGAAGATCTTACCACAGATTTCCCCACATCAGCTAACAAGGAGAACTCCTGCCTAGCACCCTGACTCTAAAAGAGAGTCCAAGCATTAAAATCATACTGGCCCAAAAGTGCTTGCTGATTGGCAATACTGAGTTGCAGCCCCCTGGTAGAATAAACTTTTCTACCAAACAGATCCATTTTTTTTGCATCTTTTGATTTGGGGGTTGCCCCGCATTTCCCTTGTTCCCTTTCATTGACTACTGACAGCACCAGAGAGCATGGGGGCCCAGGAAGGTGAGAATAGAGGTATTCAACCACCCTGAGAAGACACATTGTATTTATATTAGGTCCTTTTTGAGGCAGAGGGAAGGAACGAAGAGGTCTGCCAGAGAGCCTTAATAGCATCAATAACTGCCTTATTAATAGATAAGGGGCTAAAACATTGTCAAGGCAGTGTGAGGATTCTTTAACCTTCTCCACTTGCATCCCAATGTTTAAGACCACCTTTTTTAAATGCTCTTGGGCCTTATAGTCACCTGGGGTAGGCAAAACACTCACTGCAGAGATTGCCTCATCCAGAGAGGAGGAAGAGGTGGCCAGCACAGGCTGAGGCGGCTCTTCCTCCGCTAGCTGTCTAGCGGGGTCCTCCTGAACCACCTCTTCCTGATGAGTAGGAGCATCATGGCCCTCTGAGTAGAACAGGAACATCTTGTGTATGACTTAAAACCAGGGGGAAACCTCACAGATTCCAAAAGGGCCACTGAACTGTTGGTGGGCTCCAGTGGCCACCCACATGATGGTACCGAAGTTTCGCTTGCAGGGTAGTAGTACCTCAGTGGAGAGTAGTGAGAGTGGCTCTAAGGCTGGAAAACACAGGAGCCAATCTCCCATTCATAGGAGGATGACTCTCCCTCTGCTGCTGACCAAGAAGGGGCTGCTCCCGATGGTGCCGGAGACCAGTGCCGAGTCAAAGAAGGATGCAGTGCAGCCAACATTGCAAGCCTCCCCTTTAACAGTACTGGTGGACATACAGTTTGAGGCAACAGTGGTTGATGTGGGACTGAATGCTGCATCAATATTGCTGGCACTCCCATGTGTGCTGGTACTTAGAGCGCAGTCTCCTGCGCCATAGGAGAAACCAGCACTGAAAGGTTGAGCAAATCTTTTGCTGATGCAAATGCCTCCAGCATGGTCGGTACTGAGATGGTCTTGGGATAGTGTAGTGTCACAGATGTAGAAGGTGCACCCACAGGCTCTGGACTTGACAGCACCTTCCTTGGTGCTGGAATTAATGGTGCAGGCTTCTGCAGCATCAGAGATGATGAATGCTTAGGTTTCAGCTGCACTCTACTTTTATCCCCAAGCCTAGATGACATTTGGACTGGCAACATTCCCCTCTAGGTGGTCTGCTTAGAGGTCTTATGCATCTTAGGCATTGGGGAGGGTGAGCAGTGCTGGGACTCAGGCAAAGTAGGGAGTGCATTCCTACCTGATGCCGAGGAACTCAGTGCTGAGTCTGACTGACTGGACTCTGATGGAGGTCTTAGGGCTGCCTCCATGAGCAAAAACCTCTCCATCTTTCCTTGTCCAAGGCTTAAAGTCTTTGCACATCTGGCATTGATCCGGAATATGAGCCTGAACACAATGAGAGCACTTGCTAAGGCAAGTCAAGTGAATCAAATGACTGTCATGGGTGGTAAGAAAGAACTGCGGAAGCTCAGGGATGGCTGGGTCCCTTAAACTCAGTGGCACATAGCAGCAGAGGGCACTTGAGCTGCCCTAACAGATACCAACTGAAGGAAAAAATTTGGATGATTGTGTGTGGAGTATATGCACACCAAGAGTGGAATACACATGTGTAATCACTCAAAGACCTCTCAGCATAGTTCATAAAATCATAGTAGTAGCTCATAAAATTGTATTTCATTTACCAGGCCTGGTAGTTCAGAGATTCTGAAGAAATGGTTACTTACTGTAACTGTGATTCTTCAAGATGTGATGCAAATGTTTATTCCACTTAGGTGTAAGTATGCCAAGCGCACTGGACCTGGAGAAATTTGCCTAACAGTACCCGTAGGAGGCAGTCATCACGCCTTATGGCCAAAGACCCTCCCCTAGCTATATGAGGTGGTGCTATCTCAACCCCCGTTTAGCTCCTTCACATTTAATGGTCAGAGATTAGACTCCAATGTAGAGAGGGATGGAAAGTGGGTCATGGCATAAATCAGTGGTTCTCAAACTAGGGCCACCGCTTGTTCAGGGAAAGCTCCAGGCGGGCCGGGTCAGTTTGTTTACCTGCCGAGTCCGCAGGTTCGGCCGATCGCGGCTCCCACTGGCTGCGGTTTGCTACTCCAAGCCAATGGGGGCTGCAGGAAGCGGCGGCCAGCACATCCCTCGGCCCGCGCTGCTTTCTGCAGCCATTGGCCTGGATCGGCGAACCGCGGCCAGTGGGAGCCATGATCGGCTGAACCTGCGGACGCGGCAGGTAAACAAACTGGCCCAGCCCATCTGGGGCTTTCCCTGAACAAACAGCGGCCCTAGTTTGAGAACCACTGGCATACATGACTGCATCACGTCTCGAAGAACCACAATTACAGTAAGTAACCATTTCTTTTTTGAGTAGATGCAGCCACGTATTCCACTTAGGAGACTCAAAAGCAGTACCCAGGAAGGGTGGGGCTTGGAGTCTATTTAACAAGGACTACAAGACCGCCTTCTCAAAGTTTGCATCTGCTCTGGATGCCATGGTCATGGCACAATGGTTTGTAAACATATGTATCAACGACCACAAAGTGGCCCTGCAAATGTCCAATATTGAGATGTCACTTAAGAATGCCATTGAGGTAGCTTGTGGTCTCACAGAATTAGCTCACGCATGTGGCCCAGGAGTCTCAGGCACAGCCAAACTGTTGTGGAAGGTTGAGACTGCAGACCGAGACGAAGGTGGTGAATCAATTGCCTCTTTGGCACAGACTCTTCTGCACAGATCCAGGGTGTCATAAGGATCTCATGGACCCCAATAGGGTCTGTATGAATGGTTGAAGGCTAGTTGGTGGGAGCCCCAAAGCACTGTTGACCAGAAATCTCTTGGAGGGTAACCCTGCCTGGCCAGAGGAGAGGCAGTCAGTTTGCACCTCCCCTTATGCCCTCCGTTCTGAGCATAAGGAGCTACAGGGTGCAGGCATGGACCAACTAATGGACACTACTTGCAGGATTTTATGGTCTCAGCTGCATGGTGTACATGGATACATAAGGACCACCACTTGAAGAAATAATGTAGGTTGCATTTATAAACTAGGAGACTGTTTCCTAGAAAGCAGTGATTCTGAAAAGGATTTAGGGTAGATCTCAATGCAATTTTGTAGCTAAAAGGGCGAATGCAATGCTTGGATGGATAAACAAGGGAATATCATGTAGGAGTAGGGATATTTTACTACCTCTGTTTATGGTATTAAGATCATTACTGGAATACTGCATCCAGTTCTGATATCTACACTTCAGAAAAGATCTTGAAAAACTGGAAAGGATTCAGAAAACATAAGAATGACTAGAGATTGGGAATGCATGCTTTATAGTGAGAAACTAAGGAAGCTCAATTTATTTGGTTTACCAGAGAGGTTTATGAGGGATCTCGATCATGGTGTAACAAGTACTTACACGGGTAAAGGATTTCTGATAGACAGCTCTTTAATCTAGCAGAAAAAGACACAAGATCAAATAGTTGGAGGCTGAAGCTAGACAAATTCAGACTACAAACATGGTACAAATTTTTTACAGGGAGAGTAATTAACCATTGGAACAACTTACCTAGGGACATGGTAGATTCTCCATCACTTGCTGTCTTTAAGTCAAGACTGGATATATTTCTAAAAGATATGCTAAACATCGACAGAAGTTGTGGGCTTGATGTAGAAATTATTGGGTGACATTCTTTGGCCTAAATTACACAGGAGTTCACACTAGTTTATATTCTTTTTTTCTTGCCTCAAATAAAATAATCAGTATAGTGACTACTGTTGCCATCTGGTGCCCCATTTCATACATATACTAAAAAGAAGCTAATGATATGTCCAAACTACAAGACTTGTCCAATTTTCTCTTTGGAATCTGGCTGCTCTTCCCCCCTCATGGGATATGCTTCTCTTAAGGGACTCAAACTATATAATTATAAATGGTCCTGAATAAACCAAATATTTTACAGCTATATTGTTTCAGTTCAGTCTGTTTATTATCTAGATGTGTAATTACATAAAAATTCAAACCTTTTGTATTAAATAGCTATTTAACTTCATAAGAAAACAATGTACAGTGCAATTTTTCCTTGTTCTAATAAATTATACATACTGTATAAACACACAAAAAAGCAGTGTGTAAGCCCAAATGGACTGTTGTGCTTCAATGTATGTATTTCAGGGGCTAGAATGAAATTTATATGGAAGCAGACATGCATCTTACCTTTAGTTCCTATTTTTCTGATAGCCATTAAATGTGAGCTGGCTGGTACTCTAACCAGATTGAAGTACTTTTTATTATTACACTTGTAGTTAATTTTACATTGCAGCAGTTAATATATGTGATTTTTAAAAAGAAAAATAAGCAGTGGAACAAACTGATGCCTGGAATAACTCTACAGATAAATGTGGATCATTAAGTGCTATACTTGTCCTTTTTTTTTTTAATTAGAAATGTCACTTAGAAAATGTCCACCACTGACCAGCATTCTCCACGATCACTGAAAAGGGTGCTTTTCCTGAAGTTACTCATTTTGTTCCCAACTTACCCTAGTTCAGCTAAGAAAGAGAGCAAATGTTACTCTCCTAGATAGCGTTGCACAGTATGCTTCAGCCTAAAATGGTATCTAACTTCCTTGTTGCTGAGTGAGAACAAATAAATGTCTCCAATGTCTCAGTCTGAAGACTGCCATGGGTAATGAAGAAACCTGGGTTCTCAATATCAAGTTTGACCTCAGGAACGGATTTGTTGAGGCTTGTGTAACCCACAGGACCCCTTCTTGATCCTTTCACTCCCTTCAACATCCTTTCTTTTAGGTGATCTCATCTGCTCACATGGCTTCATCTAAATCTTCATCATACAGTTACACTGACTCACAAATCTACCTTTCCACTCTTGACCTGTATCCTTCAGCCGGTCTCCAATTATTTAAACTCAGTTTGGCCAAAACTGAACTCATGCTCCTCACCTCTCCCCCAGTACTCCTTATTTTGTCATATATTGACCACATGACCACCATCCATGTGACTCAACTGAAGAACTTGGAGGTCATCTTTGACTCCTCCCCTTCATTTGCGTCACACATCCAAGGCATGCCCAAATCTTAATTCGTCCTCCAAAACATTTTTAAGTTCCGAAGTTTTCAGTGTAAAATTTTCCAGGGCAGCTAAGTGATTTAGTGAAAGTCAGTAAGGCTTACGCACTTTCAAAATGTTAACTTCTGTCTTCATATGTACAATTTTTCTCCAGGCATTCACCATATCCTATTTTGATTACTGTAACCTGTTCCTCTCAGGCCTCTGACACTCATTGTCCCCACCAGTCCATAGGAAATTCAGCTGCTATGATCTTCTTCCTCGCCTCTATGTCTTCCCCCATTCAATTGCCTCTACTGGCTACTTTCCAACTGTTCCAAATTCAAGCTCCTGGTTCTCACTTTCAAGCTCCTTCATATCTCTGGCTTGCCCTATTCAGTGGCTCGCTCAGTGGTTTGAGCATTGGCCTGCTAAACCAGGGTTGTGAGTTCAATACTTGAGGGGGCCATTTAGGGATCTAGGGCAAAATCACTACTTGGTCCTGCTAGTGAAGGCAGGGGACTAGACTCGATGACCTGTTTGTGTGCTTCTCTTACAACTGTCTTTGTGCTTTCTTCCATGTCATTTCTCATGCATTGGATCTCAACTCAGAATTTGTAAGGCCACTACCCTCCCTTCCTACAAATACAGCCTCCCATCCCTCTCTCATCATGATGCTGAAAAGAAACTGGTTAACTAACAATGGCTACATAGACAGATAACTGGGAACAGCTGACAATCTGAAAAAATCCTTTCATTGTATATTTTCTCTCTTTTCACCACCCACTGTCTTTTGCTTGTCATGTACTGTTTGCTTTTTGGAGCAAGAACTGTATTCCTATTTGCACAGAAAGCAAATAGCACATTATAGGGACTGCAGTAAAGCAAATAATAATAGTTTATATCAGTACAATATCACAACAAAAAAATGCCTGGCGATCACAACCAGCAATGTAATTTCCAGCTTTATGTATAGAAGATTCTTTCAGGCACCCATAAAGTCTCTCACTTTGTCAAGCCATACTATGGAAATACAGCCTTCTATCAATGTAAGTTCTACGTCTAGTGGCTAAAGACAAACCTTGCCTCCTCTGTTGATATCATCTGAGGTACACAAACCCCTAGTTTCCACTCCTTGGACAGAACCTTAGACTTTGGCTTGAAGTCAACTGCCTAAGGACTCTGCTTTGGTTGGATCTCAATGTACTGTTGCTCTATCCATATAATTTTTGCCTTAGAATTATTACTTCCTTCATCTACCTGAACAGGGCAATCTAGAATTACCTCTTATCCAAGACATATTAAGACACTTTCAAAATGAAAATCATATTTCATTACATTTACTGCAGCCTTAAATCACCACAATATATTGTATTTGCAGTGCTCTTTGTATTGCAGCAATTTTATTGCATAAATAAACAAAGGTATATTTTAAAGCTTTTCCACATTCAAGAAACTAAAAACTCTGGAAGCTTTTATAGAAATAAAAATTAACTTTACAAAAAATTAGAGCTTATTTACATTTTTCAATACACAATTACTTTCCATCAAATCTGACTGGTCTATGCCTTTCCCTTCTGTAGGGTCCCACTCAATTCTGATATGGAGGTTTGCATTGGCTGCTGCTTCTTCATAGGAGAGGCGATATTCTTCTGAACTAAAGAGAAAGTATGGTATTAGTGTTTATAAACCAATTCTATAATAGATGTAAAGGGGCAGATCCTCAGCTAATGTAAATTGTCCATCCATTTCAATGGAGCTATGGTAATTTACATTAGCTTCAGGTATGTTTCAAAATTTGTGAAGAAGAAATCACCCCAGATTGTTTTGATGTATTGACTGACTTTATGACTGAATAACATGATGAGATGATCATAAGAGTAAAATAGAATTACTAATATTGTAAATGGATTACTTTTATACTTATCACTGGTCTTGTAGTTATTTTGATAAAAATGGGGGG